ACATCAGAGTGGGCAGGGGGGATTCTCTCCCAATTACAGAGCATGTGGGAGTCAAGAAAAGATTCATTTTCATAACAATTAGAAAAATCAAGGTAATTCCAAAACTTCTAAAAAGCGTCTAATGTGCAGACTGCAGCATTCTCTAGGCATCGTGTGGAGACCCCAGACTCCTCCCTTAACAGCTCCTACTAGCAACCAGAGCGAGCAGCCATGCCGCCAAGGGCCCGGGGCTACCGGGCCAAGCAGCCATGCCGGACGGAGCAGAAGGTGCCAAAGCATAGCCTGGGCCCGCGGGCCCGCGCGGGGCGCTACGAGGGGCTACTGGGAGCGGCTGCAGCGGCGGCCTGGGACAGGAAGGTACAGGACCGAGGCGGGAGGCGGGACCTGCGCCTGTCTTCCTTGGGCCCGGGGACCGGCGCGCGCTCCAGACGAGCCGCATCGCCTGTTGCGGAGAAGCCCTGCGCTCCTGCCCGATTGGGAAGGCAGAGGCTGCGCTTGCCTGGGTGCAGCCCTGGGGCCCTGAGGCCGCGAGCTTGGCCTTCCTCTCCCCGGCCTGCCCCTGCCTCTGAAAGCAAAAGCGAAACCGCCCGGACCCAAAGGAGCGCCTCTGCGGGGCCGGCGGGGTCTCCGCGGCGCCTGGTCCCCTCCTCCGCTCGGCTGCCCGGCTGCCCCTCTCCGCCGGGACCTGTGCGGCCGGCGACAGGCACCAAGGCCGTGGGGCTCTGACACTGAGGGAGCTTCTGTGCTACTTGGAAGGTGTGAATGTGTTCTGAAGACAAGTCAGAAGAGCAGCAGGGAGGAAGGTGACTGGACATCCACGAACAGTGGCTCTGTGGCAGCCAGCAGAGCCTGCAGTCTCTCTCTGACCCTGGAGGACGCCCGCCGCGCGGGGCGGGGCGGGATTGTGCTGATTCGGGCCTCCCTCTGCCGGAGGCTCTAGTGTAACTTTAAGGCTCTTCCTTGGTGGCACCGAGGCGAGGAACAGCCAGCTGTCTGATTCCTTCCTGCCTTGATTAGGGGGCGGGGACGGCCTGGCCTAGGGGGGAGTCTGCTTCCTAGCCCAGGGCTTCCAGTGGTCAGCTGCTCTCTCCTCCTCCGGCTCTCCCTCCCCTGGGAGTGTGGTCAGGAGTGGGCCCCTCCCCCGCCTCTTCAGGCGGTAGAAGGGCTTGGTCAGAGTGGGGGCGCTGAGACTGCCCAGCGTAGGCCCCCCATCCTGTGGGCTGCCAGGATTTAGAGCACCAAGTTCGCTCTGGGAGACCTTGGGGGTGGTGGCTGACTTCTGACAACCCGCAGTTACATTCACCAGCCCTACTCCCTTCCTCTTTCACTGAAAGACAGGCTGTAGCTCCTTCTCCCGCAGCCTGGAGAAGTCCTCAGGAGCTGAGCTGTTAGTGCTTTGCACATACTGCTAAAGTGTTTCTATTGGTTTGCATAGTATTTATTATATTTCATATACACATGGCTGATTACTGTACAGTTTACACTTTGAACACAGACTATGATATAAGTGCTTGAAGATATAGAAAACCTCTTCTCTATTGAACATGCTGGTGCAATCCTGGGACAGCCACCATCTGAGAGAGAAGACCCTTTCAGATGGGGCACTGGCTCCCTTTGAGCCCTACAACTAAGCCTGGGGTCCTCACCTCAGATTCTTAAGTCCCTAACACAAGGAACCCCGAATATACTCTAAAGGTAATGATTTTCCATTGGAAGATGATTAATACTGAAACTGGCAAAGAGAGACAACATAAAAAAATTCCGGTTTATCCACAGGAGGTTCTATACAGCTTCGGACATCACAGTAAAATCTGTGTGTATACTGAGTTGAGGGGAGAGGGTGTGTGTGTGTGTGTGTGTGTGTGTGTGTGTGTGTGTCCTGAATGTCATGTAGAGCATTCTGGGGGGAGCCATCCATTGGGGAGGGGAAGAGGACTGTCACAAATGGAGTAGAGGTGTGTGGGGATGGGAAAGGCTGGCGGGTGAGGACATGGGATTAAGAGGTGCTGAACTGATTTCATGCCTGGTTCTCATTTTTTTTTTTTCTTTCCAGGAAGCCCACATAGATTTCTTACAGATGAGGCTGAAAAAATAAGTACCCTGTAACAAGTCAAAATTAAAATGATTTAAAAAAATATATCATCCCCAGCCACAAAGAGCCCTTGTTACTTCTGCGTTCATGCGCTCTCGCGTTTGTTTCCTCTCCCCCTCTCTCTCTCCCCCCTTCTTGCTGCTTTTGTCTTGATTCCCGACAGAGATCCATCCATCGCTAGAGGCAGGATTGAAGACTGTAGGTCATGCGTCTACAGTCAGTCGTTCATGCGAATAGGAGACTAAAGGAAGTCCCTTACGGAGATCATGCCGTTAGCCTAGAGGAACATGTGCGCTACTTGTGCAGCCCTCCGGTCCAGCTCTCCTCCTGTGTGCATGGCAGAGTGTGTGGAGTTCAAGGGTTGGGTGTCGAGGTGTGATCCTGAAGGACACAAAGAGAGAAGGAGACACTTAGACTTTAAAGGTGCAACTCCCAGCAAAAACCCCAAATACTGAGTTTTGTGCTGGTTTTTCAGTCAGGGTCTGATTCAGAAAAAGCAGCCTCCCCAAGCAAGGTGATGAACTGAAAGGCATTGAGCTCAGAGCCCCTGACCTTCCTGAAATACCAGCCATCCTTCTACTCCCCAACCTAGAGGCTGCTTCTGAGGTGGCAGCCCTGGCCTACACTGGTTCCTTGCCAAGTGGATGAGCACCCCAGAAAACCCTCCTGTGTAGGTGCTCTGTGCCTCAGAAAGGAGGCAAGGGGTTCCCACACCTATGAAGTCACCTGGGCGGAAATCCCCATGAGTAGGTCTTGTACCTATAAAAGGGGCCATGTTCATGAGCCAGGGCTTGTGCCAAGAGAGGGGCTAGGCTAGGCAGCGGTACCCTTCTCTTTCTCAGTTCAGTTCAGTCAACATGCACTGATGTCTGCTATGTGCCAGCCCTGAGATCACTGGAATGGAGAGACATGGTCACTGCCTCGGGAGCTCGTGGCTTCAAGGGACAACAGAGCCTCTTTAGCTCTGGTCCACAGCTCTTACTGTCAGGTGCCTCTAGCTCCTCTTCCCATGCCCTGTGGATGGACAACCTCCTGTGGCCAAGAGATCTTTGGAAGACGGGTGCATTCTCTCTAGGATATTGTATATCTTAGGGTGGAAGACAATGCTTTGCCTGCAGCATCAGTTCCAAATTCTGCAGCCCGGGATTCACAGCAAGACATTACTCCTGACACCTCACGGTGCCTCATCCTCTAACATGGGTGAAACTCCATGTTTCCAAGACCAGCCACTCGGGGTTCTGTCTGTAGGGACCTTGGGGCAGATGGGGAAAAGGAGGACAGGAGTTGGCAATCTCCTGGGTGGGGCAGGAAGTGACGTGGAAAAGCAGAAACCCATTCTAAGGCAGAGCTGTCTCGACAGGGAGCTGTCTTGGGCCCTATTGGGACAGGATTGGGGAGGAAGCTAGGGATGATCAAGGTAAACTCATTCTGTCTGAGTGGTTCTCCAGGGATGGGAGGGTAGTGCTAAGCCCCTTGCCGGAGGCAGGGGTAAAACAAAAAAGCAAGCCTTCTACTGCCATGGCTTGAAGCTGTCACCTAGGAGGGCAAGACTGTTCCTTCACTGCCTTCCGAACTTCCACCTGCTCCCAGTGCCCACCTGCTCCCTGCCTTCATTTGTGGCTCTTCTATCAAGGACGCCATCCAATCTCCTCTCTGCTAAAATTCTGCCCACCACCCTCAAGACCTCTCCTCCACGAAGTTGTCCTGAAAACTCCAGCTCACACCTGTGTCTCCTCACAACTCTGGAAGCTCTTCCCCTCTGTGACTACCTTTTATTTAGAGCATACACAGAGTGTAGAGGTTAAGAGCCTGAACTCTGAAGCCAGATTGCCTGAGTTCATATCCTGTCTCTGCCAATTTCTTGCTGCGTGACCTTGATCAAGTTACTTACGCTCTTTGTGACTCAGTTTCCTGTGCTGTAAAACAAGGGCAATAAGAGGATGCATCTCATTAGATTGTTGTGATGTTTAAAAGAGCTAACGATATGCAAAGTGCTTAGGACCGTGAGCAGTATGTGAATGTGACTATAACTGGGCTCTTTGGAAATGCCACTATCTTTGACCTGTCTCTCCTTTTTCATGTCTGCACTCTTCCCCTGGCTGCAGTATAAACTCTCTGAGGGCTAGAGCTAGGAGTGGGCCTTCGCTGACGGGCCCCACACCGCCTACCCCAGCATTAAGCATGCCTCGAATGAGAGACCTTATAAAATCTTGAGTCTGGGGGAAGACAGGCTACAATCTCCTACCCACTTCTGTGGCCAGGAACGGAGCAGAGAAGAAAGTTCAAGGCTACGAGATCATTCTATGGCAACTGGTCATTTCATCTTTGGGTAAACGGAGACTCCAGGAGGAGCAATGCCAGGTCCAGTGGGAACACCTAGGCAGCAGCAGGGGCAGGACTAGAATGCAAATCTCCTGGCTCCATCCAGTATCTTCTGCCATCCTGCCCCTCTGCTCCTGGATGCCGCTCAACAAAGGTCTCACCCAAAAAAGAGCTTAGAATATAGCTCTTTGCCACTCCTAATGACTGTGCTGGTGAGATTCTTTTTCTCCTTTCATTTCTCTCTGCTGTCCCACCTGTTACCAACCCCTACCCAGTGTCTGTGGCTCTCTCCTCTCCCCAGCCTGAGGCTCCAATACACTTGCAATGTTTAGGGAGTTAGGGTGGACTATAATGTAAAACAGCCAAATAAAACATGACCCCTTGCATCCCTTCTCCTTCCCGTTGAGATGACTAATTAATTAAGTTTTAAACTTATTAAAATATTCTGTTGTCAGAGCTAACACAAGTCTTAAAACCACAGTGTCTGAATGGAAAGTGTCTCTTAAAAAGAAAAACAATAAAAACCGCCAGCAGCCTTTCATGCTGCAGCTTTCTGAGAGTCCCAGAAGGCAGAGCCACATAGATGCAGAAGACTGCCAAGAACGCATGCCCTGCCCCAGCTCCTACTAACCCAGAGGGCTGCTGGGCTGTCCCTGCCCCCAGCCCTCCAGCTGCCTTGCTCCATGCTGTCGCTCTAGGAGCACTGAAACCCTAATTCCTGGATCTAAATACTTGGGCACAAGGCAAAACCCATTAGCTGCAACTGTCTTCCCCAATCAGGCCTTGACTAAACAGCAGTTTTCTAACTTCTTAAAAACTATCAGAAAGCACCCCTCCCCCAACCAAGGCCTTAAATGCAAAAATCTTTCCCAAGGTGGGAATGACTGTGGGGCATCAGGATGAGTGATTGGGGTCTTTTCAGCCCTCACCTGGGATGGGGGTATCCTGTCCTTTGGGGGTGTTCCGTATCTCTGAACAAACTATAACCGTCATTCCTTTCAGCTCGCCTTTTAAATATAAAGTCTACAACTGTGCCATGTCACGTCTAGGAGGTTTGTAAGGGAAAACCAAAATCAGTCATCATAACTCACACCTCCATATGCATAACAATCACTTGAGGAGCTCAATGCAGAAGCCTGAGTTCCAGAATTTTAATTTAGGTCTGGGGCAGGGACCAGGAATCTGCACTTTAACCAAACTCTTGGATGATCTAGATACAGGGATGCGGAGGATGCTTTGAGAAACAGTGGATTAGAACTTGACAATTTATAAAGCTCTTTCACAGAGATAAACTCATCGATCGCCACAAACACCCTGCAAGGAAAAAATTGTCCTCATTGCTATTTTACGGTTAAGGAACTTGAGGCTTCGAGAGGTCAATTGACTTGCCCTCGTCACATTGCGCATAAGATCCACGGTTAGTTGAAAGCTAGGATACGTATGTTTTCCTTTACTCTTCACAGCTGCTCTCATGGCTAACATGATTATTTTTAAATCTTTTTATTGAAGTGTAACACACATTCAGAAGGTACTATTCTTATCCCCCCTTGAGACAGAAGCTCAGGACAATTAAATGACTCGTGTAAGGTAATACGACCTGCAAATCGGAGGAGCCAGGCCTTGAATCTAGACTCCCACACCCCAGCTTTCACCCTCTCTGAAACATACACGGTCAATTCCCATTATCTGCAGGAGCATTCCAAAGTCGCCATGAACACCGAACTAGGCAATACTGAACCTTTTCTCCTCAGGAAAATACAGCATTAAGCTCCCGCGAGCTTCTGTTCACATTTTTGTCATCCAATGAATATATAACCTTGTTTTATGTGTGTTTCTGTTTAAAGATACCTTTTTTAATATACGTATTGTTGCTTCATTAACATAGAACTCATGGCCAACAGCACTCTAACTCATGCCTGAAGGAGGCATATGGAACACATATTTTCTTCATAAGGCACTTCATAGCCTTCCTGGACTTAGAAACACTAGACAACTCCTCAGCTCTGGTCGTGGAGAAACAACAAAATCACCAACAAATAGCCCCCAAAATGCAAACAAAACAACAACAACAACAACAAAAAGTGGCATTAAATGGACTTGTTTGACCTCAGCTGAGAATGTACACACAGGGCGACTCAGACTTTTTACCAATGTGCACATGCCCGTTGATGACCATGAAAGTGCTGTGAGTGCTGGTGTTAAAACAAATGTGAATTAGTAAGAGAATTTGCAAGTGTGGAAACCACAAACAATGAGAGCTGACTGTACATGCTTGCAAGTGGGTAGTCGTAAGTACTAAATACCAGAGAGCCCTTCCGCCCCATTCACCATTATCTCTGTAGTTTGTCTTGCTGGGAGGGTAGAGCACTGCAGGCCACCTGCCAGGCTCTTTGGGACCTAGGCAGGTGCCTGCCCCTACGCTGGCTCCCTTACCGCTGTCCCCGCCCTGGCCTTTTCTTGGCAGAAGCCCTAGGTGCTGGAGCCAGGATGCTCTGTGTTCCTGACACCATGCTCCACAGTCTGGACACACATAACCTGTGGGGGGTGTAGCCACTCTGCAGATAGACCATCTCCAGAAAATTAAAACAAAAAAAATCCTAGATTCCACCCTCCCCCACAGCCTGGCTTCTGGGCTGCCTCTCTCTTTTTCAGAAATATCAGTAGAACCCAAGCCAAACAGTAGCTGAAATTTAAAGCCCCTGCTGCTGCTGCCACCATAAGGAAAATAAGACATAAGAGTGTACTTTTGCATCCACTCTGCTTTTTCAAATTATTTGCACCTTTGGATTATTTCCAGAACTGATCACAGCTAGTCTCCTAAACTGGCAGCCTGGTGGGACCCCCCCTGGCAGTGCCAGGGTTAATACTGTGACCTCCTTAAGCTGCTGAGGAGTCAGGTCTAATTTTATCCTTTAACTGGATCTACCAGTCCTCTTTTTCACCCAAGTGCTGAGGTATGTCGGGAAGCCCAGAGTCAGCACTTGTGATGGCTCGGGAGCAAAGGCAGTGGCCCTGCTTTTTGCCAAATGCAGAAAGCTGGAGCAGGCTTGCCGTGGGGCCCAGAGCCAGGCCCTGGGGGGTTTAAATGGCAACAACCCAGTTAGTGCAGCGCTGGGGACACAGTGCTTCCTCGCTTCCTGCCGACTCCCACCCCGATGCATCCTGTACTGAGCTGCCCCGAGCTGGGCACAGTGAAGAGCCTCGGGGCAGCTCAGTACAGGATCCCTCAGGGAGGACGAGGTCAGAGCTGGCCGCTGAAGCCCCCAGCACCGCACAGCTCGTTGGACAGCCTTCGCCGCTGCGTCTTCATGGCCCCCTTTCACCGCACATCACCGCACACCCAGCTCCTCGGCCGCAATGCCCCATGCTCAGCTGCCCCGAGCTGGGCACAGTGAAGAGCCTCGGGGCAGCTCAGTACAGGATCCCTCAGGGAGGACGAGGTCAGAGCTGGCCGCTGAAGCCCCCAGCACCGCACAGCTCGTTGGACAGCCTTCGCCGCTGCGTCTTCATGGCCCCCTTTCACCGCACATCACCGCACACCCAGCTCCTCGGCCGCAATGCCCCATGCTCACACAAGCCATGCACCAAGGTCTGACAGCTCCTGACTTGT